GGTGGGGGGTGCAATCTCTTAGGCTACAGATCTGCCCCACAGCTGAATGGCAACCAGTTCTGGACAAGCATTTCACGTAATCCCAGTGCCCATCCTGAGGGTCCAAAACATGGGGGACAGCTCTGGAAGCCAGGATGATTTTGTTCTTAGAACTCTGCTGCACCCACAGTGTAGCACCGCCTGACACTGTGATAGTCCCTGACACCCCAACGGGACTCACAGGGAGGAATCTCGCCGGGATCCCATACCATCAGCGACAATCTGACCTGGAGGCAGCTAATTCAGAATGGTTACAGATACAGTGGTCCTCTCCTAGGAGAGTCCTCAGACCAAGGCCAGCAGTGCCATAAGCTTCCCAGGGGCTACGTAAATTAGAAAGTTGGTGCAAGGCGACAGTGACCTGCGAATCATCCATCTTTATCCAATTACTTGTCTTTCTTCCCATAAGCACAAATGCTCAATGGCAGGTTCCTGCTAAAGGAGATCCCCTCCAGCTGCCTGCTCCACAGCAAGGGTGGCTCTAACATGAATTTGCTCCTGACCTTGCTCCCTTTGCAGCTGTGTACGAGGGTGACCTGCAGTTGGTACCCACTGACCTTAGTATTGCCAGGCTGGTGGTTCAGGGCCTGACCCATGATCTGGGGGAATGGCAGGAAGATCCTTCAGGATAGTGGCTACCATAAAATTCTACTCTTTCTCCTCTAAGAAACATAAACAGCTGAAGTCCCACTTATGGTTGTTTTTTTTTTTAAACTCAAACCCTGCATATAACTTTCACCATATAATCTAGTGGCCCTACACTGCCCAGGGGATTCTTCTGAGTTCAATGTCTGGGGTATGTGAAAAACATGCTAAAGATACTCAAATCATTTAACTTCATTTCACTTAACAGAGGTGGCTCTTTATGCAGCAAAGGAAAGACTCCCCTTGCAGTGCTTTGTTCTACCACATGAATATCATCAGCAACAGCCAGGACTGCTGAGGAACGCCTTCAGTTGGCCTAAAATGGGATCCTGCAAGTTACAAATCCTTGGAGGAATCTGGATGCTGAAAGATCACATTTCATCTCAAGTATTTTCCTTTTTATAAACAGGAGTGGTTCCAAAGCAATCCTCTTGGAGAAGTCATCCTTAGCATTTGTTTGTTTTTCACTTTTTAATTTAGCAAAGTCACAGTAACTCGGAAACGAGCGCCCAGTCGCTGTGCCAGGAGCTGCCATGCCCATTGCCTCTGCCTCTCAGTGGAGAGCAAAGGAACAGGAGCCATCCAAGGCCTTAACTAAAGGGCCTTCAAACCAAAATGCTCCTGGGCTTCCATGTCACTAGCAAAAATGAGCTTTGGATTAGGTTTAACTGGATAAAAGCTGGCCTGAAAGTCACTGCACAGCCAGCAGTGTGCTCCCCTTGCTCACAGGGTGAAGAACACCCTGGCATTAAATCAACTCTGGATTAAACAATTAGAGCCCTGAGATTTTCCTGGGGGGGAGGGGAGCAGGGCGAGGGATGGGAGGGCTGCTCTACAAGCCAAAGAAAGTTTCTTTAGAGTCTGCAGGGAGCTGTAAAAAATGGGATTAAAAATATTACATGTCATTTCTGCCACTGCTCTTTGAAGTCAAGCAGAATATTTATATGGCATGCATGGGAGACAGGGTGTTAAATGTTCCCCGGGAAGAGATCACATGGCAGGGGGAAGTTTAGCACCGCACAGCAAAGCTCTATAAAGCTCCCATGGCTGCTGCTATAACGCTTCCAGGCTGGTGATGGTCCTCTGCACACCGTGCAGGGGCAGCAGGTGAAGGCCAAGCAGCAGATGTGAAAAAGCCCCCGTCTGCTCTCCAAACCCCCCAAAAATGAGGCCCCTTCAACAAACTGTTCAGCAGTAAATGTGCTGCCACTGCTTTCAGCCTTTCTGAAAGTGGGGAAGGTGGTGTACCTGGAGCTGCTGCTGAGGACACTACACATGGCATGGGGGAAACCCTGTCACCTGGCCCAGGGGCTGCACCGCTTTGATTTGGGGTGCTCAGATACTGCGTTGGGAAAGATGCTGGTGACAAGGAAATGCAGAGTCTCTCTTAATACCTATCCCTGCCCTGTATTTCTTGCAACCCCTTCTCTCAGTGTCTTAGTTCACAGCAGATGTGAAGATTTAGCAAGGCCTCAAGTCTACAGGGCAGGGCTGCAGCCTGCAAGCTGAGTGGAGGATCAAAAACAAGCTGCAGGATGGGCTGAGCTCTCTGGGACAGTACATGGGAGATAGGGGAATGACGCAGCCTTACTTCCTCTGGAGAATTCAGATCTTCTAAATCTTCCAGCATTCTCTCTACGAACTCTTCGGTCAATAGGATCTGCAAAGGAAATAGAGTAGTTTATGCCTTTATGCTCCTAGTTTTAGCTAATTGCCAAGAAACAGAATGACTTCTGCAGAGAGCAGACTGTACCAGCTCACGCCTTCCCCCATGTCCTTCTTTCCCACAATACAAAGGTTTGAGGGCAAGGAGCTCCTAACTTTGCCTCCCACCCCAACCGCTGTAAAAAATGTTAAAATTATACAGCAATCTTTTTTGACCCTCAATTATCTTCCTCAGTCTAAAATTAGAGGCTCAGCTTTAGACAGACAGAGTGGGGAAGGAGGAAAAGGGGTCAAGATAACAACTGTTGGAGAGACAGTGGGAGACAGAGCCGCTTTCATCTGACCCATTGAAGTTAAGCTCACAGTTTAATCAGGAAATGGCAGCACAGAGAGAGCCTGAGACCCATACAGAGCCAGTGCTCTGGGCGCGGGGAGGGCTCCGACCCGAATGCAGCACATCGTTCAGATGAACCAGATGCTGGGTCTGGGAGGTGCTCCCAGAGGTGCCTGCACTAGGCACCTCCACGCTGTATCTCACGTGCCCATCTCGCGTGTCTGTGCTGAGAAAGCTTTTGGCTCATCTCAAGGCCAGGTTCACAAGCACAAAATGGTCCAGGATAGCAGCTGCCAATGGGTCAAAATCCCTGGCTGAGGGCCACAACCCCGGCTCCACAGAGCCCCCCAAGTCACACAAACCAGAGACACTGGGGGGAAACCAGCCCCAGGAATTTAAGTGGAGGCACTCCCACCCTCTTTAAAAAAGCACATGGTAGCCAAAAGCAAACACGTCCTGCCTCTCTTCACAACAGCTGTAAAGACCAGAGCTCCAGGCAGGCCAGCTGGCTTGGCACAGGAGCAGAGACCAGGACCAGAGTGCGGGACCAGGCAAACATCCCCACGCGGTGAGGGGGCGTTGGCGCGGCCTTCCTGGGCGTTAGG